TGAGAACAAGAGTGAGGTGAGGGTTAGGGGGTCGGCCAGGTACCAGGACCACATGAATTGGAGGAAGTCTGAGGCCGGGAAGAGGGGCGGGAAAGCCAGGGAGCCCACCTTCACTCGCTCGTAGTAGCTTCCTGCGTGCAGCACGGAGATGCCCTTGAACTCGGAATCGCTGCTCTGAAAGCGCCGCAGCAGGTGGTCGACGACCCGGTTCACCACCTCTGCCGCCGGCGAGATATCACCCAGGCTCAGCTTCAAATTCTTCAGCACTTGGCGGGGCTTCCACCCCGACGCCGACTCTCTCCCGGGACTCCCCACCTCCTCGGGCCTTGGCGCCGATCTCCGTTCTAGGGCGGGATCCGCGCCTCCTCCGCGGCGAGAACCGGTGCCCCTCGGGCGACGGCATCTCACCACGGGAAGCGGCGGCTCTGCGGACGCAGAAGGCTCTGAGCCCTCGGGCGGGACCGAGGGAGCCTTCTGCCTCTCGCGTTCGTCGGCGCTGGGGGCGCCCAAAGGCGGCGAGTCCCCGGCGCGGAGAGGCGCCGTCTTGGCCCCGGGCCCCGGGGGCATCTTCTGGGGGTCTCGGGCGCTCTTCTTGGGCACTGACTTCCCAGCCGGGCTGCATCGGCCACTGGAGGAAATAGCAGCCCCGGAAGCGGGAGAAAATGCCTCGGGCTTCTCCGAGCCGCCCCTCGCGCTCTGCGCGGAGCCTTTGGGGGTCCCAGCTCCTGCTTTCTTAGATGTTCTCCTCTCCTTTCCCCGCCGAGGATCCATGATGTGTGTTCTATGCTTCTAAAAGGAGAACAGGCTTCTGAAAAAAAGAGGTGTCACTGATTGGAAAGAAAACGAAACTTACAAATCTGGCGGGAAAGGAGGCGCTCTGACTGCCGCCTGGAGGCATATGACCCGTCTGGTTCCGCTAACCGGTGCTCCGGGTTCTCACTGGTTTCTGAGCCGTATATAATGCAAAAGAAGGAAAGCTGAATCAGTGTGCTCACAGAAAGAATGTTGAGGCAGAAGGAACAACTAATGCAATGGGTTTAAGATGGAATAACACCTAGATCAAAAAACAGTAATTGTGGCTAAGAAGTATAGTAAATCAGAGACGTCTCATTGCCTCTCAGCTCTGAACGCACACTTCAATATATGCTCTGTGATAAACAACAGGATTGTTTTAAACATTTCTTCTTTAAAGTACACTTTCTCAGTAGAAATTGCCTGAAGAACATTGCAAAAAGAAGAACCTGACATTTCTGGGGTCAGAATAGGGATAGAAATTGAGAGCAAAGGCTGTATGAAAGGAGAAAAGGTAAGCCTTGTGGGTGTGCAAAGACAACTGGTAAACCTTACTTGAGTCACAGGCCAGAAAGTGAACCTTCCTATTGGCACAAGAATCTGTTCCCCGAAGGACCTGACTGTACTCCCTACCTCTTCTTTCTGGTGGTGAGATTTCTACCTTTGCTACTAAATTGAGATTTAACCTGGTGCAATGTGAAAAGGTGACCAATCCCATAATAATAGTTTTATGTTGTTGTTGTTACATGCCATCACATCGCCTGCAACTCATAACGACATTATGTACAACAGCCCTAAACCCTGCTCTGTCCTGTGCCAATCTTATTGTCTCTGATACACCTACCCCCATTACCCCAGTCACAATCAATCCATCTTATCAAGAGTCCTCCTCACTTGCGCTGTCCCTCCACCCTCCCAAGCATGATGTCCCTCTCCAAGGACTGATCCCACTTTGCAGCATGTTCAAAGTTTGTCAGACAAAGCTTCAGAATCCATGTCCAAGAAGCAGCCTGGCTTCATCTTCTCCAGGATGAACTTGTTTGTTCTCCTAGCAGTCCATGGTATATTTAATACTCTTCTTCAGCACCACACTTCAAAGGCATCAACTCTCCTTCTATCATCCCTAGTCGTTGTTTTGCTTTCTGATGCACAGCAAGTAATTACCTGTATCAGGTGCACTTTAGTCTCCAGATTGACATCGTTGCTCTTCAGTAATTTGGAGAGGTCTCTGACAGCAGACTTTCCCAATACAATTAATCTTTCAATTTCCTGGCTGCTGATACCAACAACGTTGATTGTAGAGCTAAGCAAAACTGAAGCTGTTGACAATCTCAATTTCTTCACCATCCATCACGGTGCTGCCAATCAGATCAGTGGTGAGAATTTTTGTTTTCTTGATGTTGAGCTTCAATCCATATTGAAGGCTGCAGTCCTTGACCTTCTGCAACAAGTGCTTCAGGTTCTCCTCAGTTTCAGCAAGGAGTGTTATGTCATCTGCATAACGCAGATTGTTGTTGACCTCCAATCCCGATGCCACATTTCTCCTCATAGAGCCCGGCTTCCCACATAATCTATTCCGCATATAGATTGAAAATTATAGCTTTATGCACACCCTATTTTAGGTTCCCTCCCATTTGAAAGTAAAAATTGATTAGGAAAGCCATTTTCAGCAATAAACCCTTGATACCACATAATGAAATGTACAAAGTACTTCAAGTTACAAGTCAACAAGAATGGCATTTCTCAGGCTAAAAGCTTGAGTTTTGGAGATTTGCACCACTAACCCAAAAGCCTAACCTCTCTTACAGTTCAACTTTATTAACATTACTGGGGGGAGAGAGAGGGACAATCTCCTCTCTTGCAATTTGCAAGATTTGGAAATCAAATGGTGGATCAGCTCTAAGTCAATTCATTCCTGCTTGATGGGAATGAGTTTTGAGTTTGAGGGCTTTTTACTTTGAAAAGAAATGAAGAAAGAATTTAAATTAAAAGTTGTAATAGTGGAAAAAATCCCTTCAAGAAGTACTGAATGATGCAAGAAACATAGAAAAATATGCTAAGAATACAGAGACAATGGAGCTCTGTGCTGCAATCCCAAAGACACGTGGTTCAAGGCCACCAGCTGCTCCTCGGGAGAAGGATGGGCAATCTCCTCCTGTGCAATTAATTGCTTCTGAAAATGCACCAGAGATCAGTTATGGATTGGTTCCGACTTTATTGTACACAACAACAACAAAATGTGTATCTTTTCGCAGAACTCTGCTGGCCAGGCAAGAAGCTGCACTGCAATCCCAAAGAATACAGAGACACTGTCCCAAAAAGAAATGACCAACATTCAAACATCTTAGGAAGGAGAATATGTACAAGAACAAATGGGTGCTATAAGAAAAAGTACAAACTTTATTAAAGGCTTTCCCTATTGGTGAAAAGCAAGGCTACAGGAGTTAATAGAGTATCACCTGAAATGTTTCAGAAAGCAGATATAGCTTTTGAGGTACTAACCTATACTGGGAAATTTGGGAAATAGTGAGCGATATGGTTAACTAATGAGAATAACTCTGTTATGTTCATCCCAATGAAAGGTAATCCACAGAGTATTGTCAATAATGTCACAGAAGTAATATTTTGCCAAAAGTAATTCAAACTGGGGAACTATTGTTGTAAGGTGCTATTCAATCCGTTCCAGTTCATAGTATAACAAAATGAAACACTGTGCTGCCTTGTACTATCCTCTCAATTATCTCTGTGTCTGAGGTCATTGTTGTAGCCTTGTTGAAGGGTCTTCTTTTTTACACTACTTTACCAGCCATGATGTCCTTCTCCAGGAAGTGGCTTCTCCTGATAACAAGCCCAAAGCATGTGAGACAAAGCCTTGCCATCCTCATCTTCAAGGAATATTCTGACTACACGCTTCCTCTAAGAAAGATTTGTTTGCTCTCCTGGCAGTCTGAAACTATTTAATATTTTCACCAATACCACAATTCAAAGACATCAATTCCTTTTTCAGTCTTCCTTATTTGTTGCCCCAGTTCCACATGCACATAAATCAATTGAAAATACTTAATTCAAGGTGTGACTTATGTCAGGCACACTTTATTCCTCAAAGTGACATCCTTGCTCTTCTGCACGTTAAAGAGGCCCTTTGCAGAAATTTTTTCCAATGGAAAATACATTGTTTGGATGACAGGAGGAGCAGAGGGGTGAGGGTGAGGATAAGGGAGGAGAGTAATCATAAGGTCACACAATCTGATGGGTGAAGGGAGGGATGGGTAAAGGAAATGGAAAAGATATGGTGTGAAAACATATATGAACTTTGTAAGGAACGTGTATAAAATAAAAATTTTATATAAAAAAAAACATTGCTTTCCTAAATGCTTCCATGAGTACTGATTATGAATCCAAGTAAAATGAAGTCTTTGTCAATTAGAATCTTTTCTCCATGTGTCATGATGCTGCTTTTTTGGTCTAGTTGTGAAATTTTTTATTTTCTTTATGGTGAAGTGCAATCCATAAAATGCTATAGTTTGATCTTCATCAGTAAATGCCAGATGTCTTCATTTTCTGCAAAGTTGTGCCACCTGTATGTCAAAAGTTGTTAATGAGTCTTCTTCTAATACTGATGCTGCATAATTCTACATAGAGTCCAGCTTCTCAGATTTTTTGCTGAGCATGCAGACTGACCAAGTGTAGTGGGAGGATATAACCCTGACACACAACTTTCCGGATTTTAGACTATGTAGTATCTCCTTGTGCTGTTCATAGAACTGCTTCTTTGACTCTGTGTGCCTTCTGCATGAGTACAGTTGAGTGTTCTAGAATTCCCATTCTTCTCAATGTTATCCATAATTTGTTATGATGTATACATTAGAATGCATTTTCACAGCCAATGTCTACACAAATAAACATCTTTCTGGTATTCTCTGTTTTCAGCCAACATCTATCTGACGTCAGAAATGATAGTGCTGGAGGTGCTCATCATCCAATGAAATTTTGGATAATGGCATTTAGAAAATAGCTACATGGCCTCCCAACTGAAAGGGATCTGGTTTTGTGCATATTCCAGAATAAGCACAAAGTAGTCCAACAGAATTCAGTGAACAATATTATTAGTGCAACAAGAAACTCATTGCCATTGAGTGGGAACCAACTCATAGCCCCATCAGGTCTTCAGAGGCTGTAAATCACACAGAAATGTGTCCACCTTTCTAGAGCAGAGCAGATGATGGATTCAAACCAGTTGCCTTTGGGTTGGCAACACAACTCTCGACTCATTGGGCCACCACAGGGACCTACATATTAATGTCACATCCAAGTAAAATCTTTCTGAATATTGAAGTGATGTCTTGACTGGAAACTGCCAGAAACTCAAGCTAGATTCAGAATGAAGTAATACCGCTGCTGATGTCAGATGAATCTTCAATGCTAGTAAATAAAGACAGGCTCTCAGAGTCTTAAAACAATTTTGATTAGATCCTTCATACAAAGATACCTTTTTTTCAGGCCCATCCTGCAATAAAAAGTACCTATGTCAAGATTTTTTTTTCTTTTAAGTGTATTTAACATTCTGTCTTGACCACATAGGGAAATGCTCCTTCAGTTCCCAAGGCCTGGAAGCTCTGGTGGCCTAGTGTCAAGAAGCTGCACTGCAATCCCAGTTCCCAAGGCCTCAAGCAATTCAAGAAAGAGGCAGATGACAGATGCATTGATTGTGCTAAGAGCAGGTAGACAAGTAAAAGTCTTTTGATTCACATATGAAAAGACTAGTATCATTCAGCAAAGCCAAATTTTAATGAGTGTCAGTCAAAAGGCTTGTTATGTTGCTTTTATGTGCCATCAAGTCACCTGCTACTCATAGTGACCCCATGTACAGCTGTGAACCCTGCTCTGTCCTGAGCCAACCTTATCCTCTCCAATATACCTACTTCCATTACCCTAGTCCTTGAGTCAATCCATCTCATCTAGGGTCTTCCTCTCTTGTGCTGTCCCTTCACCCACCCAAGCATAATGACCCTCTCCAAGGACTGGTCCCTCCTTGCAACATGCTCAAAGTATGTCAGATGGAGCTTCAGAATCCTTGCCTCCAAGGAGGGCCTGTTTTCACCCTCTCCAGGATGAATCTGTTTGTACTAGCACCACACTTAAAGGTATCCATTCTCCTTCTATCATCCCTAGTTGTTGTCCAGCTTTCTGATGCATAGACCATGGCCTGGATCACATGCACCTTAGTCTCCAGACTGACATCACTGCTCTTCAGTATTCTGGAGATGTCCCTGACAGCAGACTTCCCAATGCAATTCATCTTTTGATTTCCTGACTGCTGGTCCCAAGAGTGTTGGTTGGGGGAGCCAAGCAAACTAAATTTGTTCACAATCTCAATCTCTTCACCATTTATCATGATGCTGCCAATCAGATCAATGGTGAGAATCTTGGTGTTCTGGATGTTGAGATTCAATCCGTATTGAAGGCTGCAATCCTCAACCTTCTGCAGCAAGTGCTTCCAGTTCTCCTCAGTTTCAGCAAGCAAGGTTGTGTCATCTGCATAGCGCAGGTTGTTGGTGAGTCTTCTTCCAATCCTGATGACATACTCCTCAGAGCGCCCAGCCTTCCAGATGACTGATCTGTTCTGCATATAGATTGGAAAGGTATGAGATGGAGGACACATCCCTGGAGTACACCCTTCCCACTTTTGAACCATGCAGTGTTACCTTACTCTGTTCTGACGGATGCCTCCTGGTCCAAGTATAGGTTTTGCATAAGCACAATCCAGTGTTCTGGGCTTCCCATTCTTCTCAGAGTTAGCTACAGTTTTAGTCTTCTTCAAAAGACATCATAAACTAAAATTTTCGGTATAGAAACAGATTTCAAAGAAGTTAAAATATGTCTGGAAATGATTCATATGACTCTTTTATTCACAGATGTATTTGAAATTCTTTGGAATCTGTTCCTAAGTTAAAATTTCAGGCTTCTGGACAAAAGAGAAGGAAAGTGGAGCAAAAATTAATAAACAGGTACGTTTAAAGGAGATAATGGACGGAAAATTCAAAGAATATGAAAAGACGAAGCAAACCAACTGACTGATGTTAGCTAGGCACTTTGAGGTCCTGCTTGTTAACTCCTCGGAAGCTTGGCTTTCCTAGTCTCCAACCCAGCACATAGGGATTCAAATTGTGGGAGCTATTGAAGAAATAAGTACGCCGGCAGGAACACGTGATACTTTTTTCCGCCAATCAGCGGCGGCTCTGCACGTAGCTACGCAGTGACGTCCGAGCAAGATGGCTGTGTCCTGTGGGCTTTAATTGTCTTTGGTGTGTTTTGTTCCTGGCCAAGGATTTCCTCCTCTGCCTCGTTGGGAATAGAGTTACGTAGGTTCAGACTTTTTCTTACTATGTTCTCTCTGCAACGCTGCGGCCGCCGGCTCACGAGGTTCTTCAACAAACAGCACTTTCCGTTGGCCCGGTTCAGCGGTGAGAGCGGCGCACCCGGGTCTCCGCACTTCGATGTCATTGTCGTCGGCGGAGGACATGCGGGGACTGAAGCAGCCGCCGCCGCCGCTCGGTGCGGCTCCCGGAGTCTGCTGCTCACGCACCGTGTGGACACGATCGGTGAGAAGAGCGGGAGGTTGCAGGGCGTGACTTAGGACTCAGAACTGCTAACGTCTCCCCCACATCCTAATCTGCTCCCTCTTTCCAAAAATGACAAGTCCCTATGATCAGTGTCTTCCGCGATCAGCTGTGTTGAGCCAGAGTTTTGGGTTAGTCAAGTCTGTGGCCCAAGTGTTGTGTTGGCTGCTGACAAAAGCAGTTTGCTTTTAGAGTTTAACTTTTTAGAGGGTTGGCATCTTGGAAGAGTGACTTCAATAATAACAGTGTATTCGAATATTGTAAATAAACTAGTATCATTGTTGTTTTTGTTATGTACCGTCCAGTCCCTTGGGACTCATAGCGACCCTAGGAACAACAGCCCTGAAACCTGCTCTATCCTGTTCCAACTTTACTGTCTCTGACACACCTGCTTTCATTACCCCAGTTACCCCAGTCACTGCATCAATCCCTCTCATCAATGATCTCCCTCTTTCTCCGTCCCTCCACCCTCCCAAGCATGATGCCCCTCTCCAAGGATTGGTTCCTCCTTGCAGCTTGCCCAAAGTATGTCATACGAAGCTTCAGAATCCTTGCCTCCAAGGAGCAACCAGGTCTCACCCTTGCTATGAGGAACATGTTCTCCTGGAAGTCCTTGGTATATTCAACATTCTTCTCTAGCACCACAGCTCAAAGGCATAAATTCTCTTTCTGTCATCCCTAGTCATGTCCAGTTCTCTAAACTAGTATAGAGAAAGAAAGGAAAAAAAAAAAAACCCCAAACAACCACCAGAATATGCCTTTATAACTTTTTCTTTTACCATCTACTTTCCTATTGCTTTGGATAAAGAATGGATTGCCATTATTAGGAATTGTTTAATAAAAGATTCTTGTGTTTTTCTGTGAATTTTGTTAATCTCTTCTGAAGAGCAGTGCATTCTTTATTTTCCCCAAACATACAGGGTGTTTGTACCCCAGTTTTGTGCTGTGTATAACAGTGCCTTCTCTCTCTGTCTGTCTCTTAATTAGCTACTGTTGGAAAGCCGTAACTTAAGATCACTCTCTAGTTTGGTGCATGCTAGCCAAAGTGTCATTTTGTACAGTATGTTTCACCATAAGGTCCACCTTTGCTTAAGAGGAAACTGTAAGTGGACTATTAACTGTTTAGAAAAAAATTGTAAATAAATCACATATTTGTTATCCTAAATACAATTCTAGAACTACCGTTGAACTTGAAATTGTGAAGGAATGAATATACAACTCACTGTTCATGGTGATTTCTTTTTGCGGACAAGATTATCAGAAACATTTCACTTCATAACTTCAATGTTGTTTATATTAAAAACAAAGATAGTGTTCTACCTCTACAATTAAAGGGGGGTAATCTAATAAAAAATTATTGAACAAGATGATTTTTTTAATAAAATTTTTATTTTATACTGGTTGACTTAAAAAGTTCATATACATTGTTTTTCACACTGGGTCTTTCCCATTTCCTTTACCCGTGCCTCCCTCCCTCCATCAAATTGTGTGACCAGCTATTTATT